AAAATCTAAAATTTTCCGCACTTATTTAGAAACACCATGTACCTATATAAAAATATGTTCTTCAAAATAATTACGGGATCAAAAAAATTGTCCAAAAATAGGCAAATTTTAAATAGCCGTAACTTTGTTTCAAAAAATGATAATTTAAATTTTAAAAAAGAGTTTTAAAGCTTGAAATCTTCAATTCTGATATTTTAAACATACGGATCACTATAAAAAATTATCACAACAAGTCTATGATTTTTTGCCAAGTTTAGTATATTAGGAGGCACATAAATTTCAGTCGATAAAATTATTTTAGTCACTTTGCGTAACTTTTTTTCAAAGTTTAAACAAAAAAAAGAAAACTCGCAAATTTCTACGTTATTTTCATCTATTTGTAAAAAGTTGACAAATTAAAACAATTCAGTCTCTATATCATACTATAGAGCAAAGATTCAGGTTTAAGAATCCATTCTTAAAATTGTTGGACGATGATTTTTAACGGAGTTATGAACGATTAAAGTGAAAATGACATTTTCTCTTCAATTTGCGATAACTTGATAAGGAAAGATCGAAATTTACATTTTAAAAAACGATTTTGTAGGGAAAACTTCAGGCTTTAATGCGAAAATGTCAAAAAATGTTTTCAAATCTTCTTGTGCATGCGATATGTCTACAAAGTGAGAAGAAAAATTTCTATTTTGTTATGCTCGTTATTTTCCGTATAAATATCAGAATTGAAAAAAATAAAAAAGCTATGACCTTTCGAAAGTAGAGATTTCAAGCTTTAAAACCTTTTTTAAAATTTAAATTATCATATTTTGAAACAAAGTTACAGCTATCTAAATTTTGCTTATTTTTTGGACAATTTTTTAATCTCTTAATTATTTTGAGTGTATATTTAAAATACAAATTAAAATAAAATACAATTAAAAGGAGAAATATAGTATATGTTTATTATATAAAACACCCTTAATTTTCAACAAAGAATCATCTATTTTTTGCACTTATTTAGAAACATCCTATATACATACAGTTTTTATTATATATATACAGTACCCTCCATAAGTTTGGAAACACCTTACATTTGACAGTTAAAGAATTGCATGGCAGCGATCTGTTATAAATAAAAATGTCATTTAAATATTTTATTTTGTGATTCATTTATATAAAAAATTTGCACAGATCTGTCAAAAGGATCCTCTTAATTTAAGAGAAAAATTCTCTAAAAAAGTATTCTTTAATTAGATATTCGTAAGAATATAAACTTAATGGAATGTTTTTTATCAGTATATTATCTGAAATATTATTAATCGTGATAACAAAAAACGGTCTTATAAATGGACACTTGGTATTTATTGCATACAGTACTCTTCTCAAGTTTGGAATCACATTTTATATTTTACAGTTAAACAATCACATGTCAGCGATCTGTCATAAAATCTATCACATACTGTATGTATATATTTTTTTTTAATTCTGTATATACATATATATAATTTAAAAATGTAAAAAGTCAAAAATCTCTCTCATAACTCGCAGTTCTTAAAATAATATATACCACATATCACTGCTTTGTGCGAAAGATGTTTTGCCAGATAAAAAGAAATAGTGTTCGCTAAACGTTGGAAGTTCTTCCCTTCTCGTGGAGATTGATACTTTGATGCTCGGTTAAACAAGATCGTTTGCGAGAATATTAGTTTCGTGTTCGTACAGCGCATGCCGCAATCAGTCGCCCTTTTGCTTCGACATTTCCATCCTCGATTTCGTTTACCTTGAATAAAAAGGTTCAGCGAGAGAGCGAGAGATAGAGAGTGTCTGTTCTATTGAAATTTTAAAGTATCAAGGGAGCATGGAACATCTCAAAAGCATACAGTCTTGAAACTATTTGGAATTGACTTTTTAAGAGAGCAGTTTCAATTGGCGATTTTATTCTTTTTCTTGCTCTCTTTCTCTCTCTTTCTTCTCTTGCTCGTCCTAAATTTTTGATTTTACTTTTATTACATCATTTGTCGCTTTAATTGCAAATAAAAGTACAGTTACATAAGAATCTCCAGTGTATTTCCGTCGCAAGTAGATAATTGAAAATTCAATATCTAAACTACAGAAAAATATATATATAATAATATATATATATAAAATACATAGAAAAAATATATATAAAAAATATATATAAAATACATAAAAAATATATATATAAAATATATATAAATATATATATATATATAATATATATAAATAAAAAAATATATATAATTTAATACACCTTAATCAATTTTATAGAAAAAAACTTTTTAAATTCGATCACTCTCTTAAATCCTTATTTTTTTTAATTTAGGGATCGCGTAAAATAAAAGTAGGTCGAGTACGATACTGCCCTTTGAAAAAAAGTTACAAGGGCAGGTTGTACTCATTAGGAGGTGAGTCTTGAGAGGCCGAGTTTATTTAGAAGCAGAGGGGATGGGGGCTCCTAAGTCGATGATGTAAAATTCAATTATTCTTCCGGTGTCTGGAAGAGAATTATCTCGAAAACGATCTCGACACTCGAGATTTTCATTACAAATTGAGTTACGGCGGAATTTCAATCTCCACTATCGATAATCGAATTGTAATCGCAATGAGAGTCCGTTTTGCTAATAAAGATATAATAAATATAAGGGTACCGGACGATTTTATTATCGGAGCACCGATCTGTCAAATAATACGGATAAGTATTAATCTCTGAATTAAAATTTATTATTGGTAGAAATAGGAAAATATTTTTTGTTGTTTTGCAAACTCGTATTTTTTTCAGTACGCGAAAATAAGAATATACATTTACTTATTCTCGCAGAAAAAAATTTGAAAACTAAACGCTGTGATTTTATTTTCTTCTCTTTCACCTCTCTCTCTTTTCTATCTTTCATAGAAAATTAACGCGTATTTTCGTCGAAAAATTGTAAAAACTAGACTGTGTTTTTATTTTTTTTTCACAGAGAAAAAAGTAATATATCAATGTTTTCATGAAAACAACAATAGACGACTGACGCGGATGAATAACCGCAGTTTGTAAAACACAGCTTTATTCCCCATACACACGTATATATTTTATATTTAAAAACTGGTATTTTGTATCCATTAATATTTTTAATTCAAAAAAACGTGTATACACAGAATATTTCTTATCGTAGATAACATTGCAGCTGTCACATCATAGAGGCACAGCATTGGTTTTTTTTATAAGAATGAAATATGTTTCTATTTAAATTATTCTTTATTGTCTATTCTGCGTTCTATATGAACGATCTCATTCGAAAATCTGTGTCAGAGAATTAATTTGATTTTTCGAATAAAATTAGTTTTGTTGTTTCATACAAATTTCATACATTCTATAAGAAGAATGAATGCTAAATCGTACCTTTTGTTAAATCCTATTTTTTAAACAAAGTTCAAATATTTTAGCGTGTTAACGTTGTCGCAGCTAACTTCACTCAAATGCCGCAATATTTGTTTTCTTCTTAAATGATCCGTTGATAAGTGATGTTCATAAATTTATTTAGTGCGATTTTCATGAAATATTTAGCACTTCATGCTTAAACTATCACACTGAGAAAGATAAGAAAACGTATTAGTAAAGTATTTTTTCATCTTATTTAATTCTACATATAAAAGCGTTGAAAAATCGGCAAAATGTTTTAAGATTATTTTTTATTCACAAATTTGACAAAGTAATAGAAGTTTGATAAAATATACCACTAACTTTTTTCTATTTATCGTACTGGTACGATTTACTAAATTTATTTTTTCGTTTAGGCATTAGTTTTTTTCTTTATATTTAGATGGACGGCCAAAGGAAATTTTATCAAATTTTAAAATATTTATTTATATTTTTGCGTAATACAAAAAGTATTTTGAAGAAAATTTAATTTTTGTATCACATATATTTTAACTTTTAAATTAACACTTAAACACTTAACACTTAAATTTTTGAAGAAAATTTATGATTATAAATACGACATTCTTATAGATATGTTTTGTTGCAGACCGAGAACTTTGGTAAAAAATAAAATTTTATGATTACAAATTTGTAATTTTATTGTTGGAGATGTAATTTAAAATAAATCAGTATTGTAAATCGTACCAAATACTTATTTATTTTTAATTTTTAACTTACGATATGAAACCATGATAAATATATGTTAATATTTAGTACATATCGTTGACGAAGAACTATAGTTTTAGGTAAATAAAAAAATTTCGTCACTTCTTTGATGGTTCCAATTTAAATATTTACTTTACCAGGGTACGATTCAGCATTTACTTTTCTCTATATACTTTATATTATACGTGTATAGGAAAGTGTGAAAAAAATTTGTAAAAGCAGTTTCTTAATAAAATAGTTTCTTCTCTTTGCAATTATAAATGATCCTTCGATGTAAACGTATTTTTCAAATAGACTGCACGATGTTTTTGTAACAAGGAATAGCCTGTTCTGTCTTTTACTGCACGATGCGACAACGCATGCGGTTATCTTATCTTGTTGTTATATCTATAAGAACCAAAGCAGGCTAAACACATTTATACATATATATATGAATTTAATCTATATTTTGTACACATACACACACACACACACACACACACATATATATATATATATATATATAATATATATGTATATACACATAATAAAAAAGTCCGTTTGCGCGCGAAAGCTAAAAAAGAAGAAAAGGAGGCGCACAATATGAACCCCCGTTGATTTTTGCCATATGACCCCCGTTCCACTCATAATACCTTAATCCTTTGATGCAGACGAAGATTCGCACGATAAAAAAGGGACCAACCAACCAGTCGACCACCAAACACTCGCGATTTTCTTTTCCTCTTTCTCATTTAAGGCACGCGGTCGCGCGCCGAAGCTCAAGACGCTTTTCGCAAAATTCGAGATTTCAACCGCGGAGCGATATATCGAACGGACCGGAGGATCGATAGGCAGCTAAGTGGAGTGTGGTTTAGCTTGGCTTTTGAATAGGACATACCCAGTATGTCCATGACTGAGTCCCGTGATGACCTGCGCTCGTAATAGTGGCGACAGTAGTACTGGTGCCGTATCGGTCAGACTTGGCCACGGAGACCGCCACCACCACTACCGCAACCCCTCCCTTCCTCCGCGGACTTCTGCAAGGCGCGCACCCCCGCCACTGGAATGGGCGTGGAGAGAGAGAGAGAGAGAGACGCGGGAGAGGGAAGGGTTGGAAGAGGGGGTTGGAAAAATGTTCAGTTCCTCTCTTCCAACCCCCGGTCTCTTTCTACTGCCGCGCAATATTTTTGCTGTCCCTATAACCGACACGATCGGCCTTTCTATGGAACAGGACAGGATGAAACGAACGCGACACGAACGCCTATATATCGATATATACATATATAAAGAACGAAGAATGGAATGTTGAGGGAGTAAGCGACGTCAAAAGCTTGTACGGCCGGTTAAAACAGACCCGACTAGGTCACCGGGGATGAATGCTGGAATATAAACGCGCGGGTGCCGGGATTAAGAGGTGTGAAGTACTGATTTAGAGTTTTGTCTAATAACGAGTTCTCTTTTTTTTTGCTGTGAAAACCAGATTTTGCAACAATTGCCAAGAAATTGCTCTAAAGCACCATATCCGAAAGACATTCAGAGAATATCCAGAGGACATCCTCCAAATGTTCTTTGAACGTCTTCGGGATATGTGTGCTGTTAAGGTGTACACTATATCCGAAAGACATTCAGAGAATATCCAGAGAATATCCAATGGACATCCTCCAAATGTTCTTTGAACGTCTTCGGGATATGTGTGCTGTTAAGGTTTACACTATATCCGAAAGACATTCAGAGAATATCCAGAGGATATCCAGAAAATATCCAGAGGACATCCTCAAAATGTTCTTTGAACGTCTTCGGGATATGTGTGCTGTTAAGGTTTACACTATATCCGAAAGACATTCAGAGAATATCCAGAGAATATCCAGAGGACATCTCAAAATGTTCTTTGAACGTCTTTGGGATATGTGTGCTGTTAAGGTGCACACTATATCCGAAAGACATTTAGAGAATATCTAGAGGACATCCAGAAAATATCCAGAGGACATCCAGAGAATATCCAGAGGACATCCTCCAAATGTTCTCTGAACGTCTTCGGGATATGTGTGCTGTTAGGGTGCGGAAATGTTGGGGGATTTGATTTATTTCTAACTGTAAGCAATAAAAGATATCCAGAGGATATCCAGAGAACATCCTCAAGATGTTCTCTGAACATTTTCGGGATATGTCTGCTGTTAGGGTGTGGAAATGTTGGGGGATTTGATTCATTTCTAATTGTAAGCAATAAAAGACATTCAGAGAATATCCAGAGGACATTCTCAGGATGTTCTCTGAACGTCTTCGGGATATGTGTGCCGTTAGGGTGCGGGAATGTTGGGGGATTCGATTTATTTCTAACTGTAAGCAATAAAAGTGTGTGTTGAGTTGAACAAGAATGGTGTTTTGAATAATAGTTTAACTGGTATTTATTTGTTAAAGTGTTTTGAGAATGTTTCTGGTAGAGTAAGATATAAAAAATATATAAAGGTAAAAAATAGTTCTTTTAAAGAAATGACATTAATTTGGATATTCAAGATATAAGAATTTTACTTTTAACATGTTAAAATTTGTCAAATCAAAATTTTTCTTCAAACATTCTGGCTTTTATTTATATGACAAATCATGATAATAATTTTATAATACAATAATTATTTCCCTTTTTTATATTTCTTAGATAACGCAGATAATTAAAATAATTAAGGAGATCCTAAACGCCGTCCTGTTTTATCAATAAAACATCATTTTTGCTTTTTCACGATTAAAGTACATGTAGAAACAAAGCACGAATCTCTCTACCGATTTTATGTTAAAAACCAAAAAATTTCTTAAATTTAAAAAGTAAAAGTTTTGTTATTCTTTATTAGAATTTTTGTTCTTAAGTTAGGATCCCTATAGGATAAATAAAGATAAAATAAATAAGTATGATCTGCTAATTGTGAAACTAAATTCATAAATACCTTTTAAAAATTACATAAAAATTAACAAAGTGAAAAAGTCACAAATGTGATTAAAAATAACGAGAGATAAAAATTAGCGAATACGTGTTATGAAACATACTTAATACAAAGTTTCTAAACATGCTAAGTTTGAGAATAGTGTGTTGTTCGTAGCATATCTTTCTTTCTCTTGTTATGTAGCTTAACAAAGAAGTTATCGTAACTTGGAATTATGAAGGATTATACATATATTATGTTAAAGTGTCTTTTGTATTTTGCATTCTTATATTGTGTTAATAAAAAAAAAACGAGAGACTTATATGTCATCTTATATAAAGATTTGAAATATGGTTTTGGAGAACTATTATAAATATTGCAGCGGTACACATAGAAGAAATAATGGAAGTGTGAGCTTAATTTTTTGTAATTTTCCTAGATATTTAAAGGAAACCTAAACACCGTGTTTTATCAATAAAACATCATTTTTGCGCACCCTTTTCTTTTTATTGGTCGAATTAATAATAATGCTTTTCCACGAGTTAAAAACAAAAAAAAAACCTGTTTTTTAATTAAAAATGAAAAATTTGTTTCTGTTCTGACATTTCAAGTATTTATTCCCAAACTTGCACAGTTATGTTGTAAAATTCGGGGGATTCGGTTTCCTGCACCGCGGCTCGCCATAACGTGCATAACATATATATGACAGATGTTTGCCGACGATATCTCGCAATCGACCTTCCGGTTAATGGGTCATAGGTCGCAGACCCTATTAACTACTCTACCCGGTACTAGACACAATAAATTATATCGCTCATTAAGTGCGCTCTACACGTGGGAATATTCCTTAATGGCTTTCCGCCTTCGCTCGAAATGCTTGCGTGCAAATGCTTCCGCCTTTTCCTAATTACAATTTCTCCCGTCCGCAAAAATCGCGGTCTTATTTCTGCGACGTGTATAAACGTACCATTAATATTAATAATTAAAAAAAGTTGCGAAAGAAGATGCAAATCTGTGCGGCAAAGGAGATTCCGAAGCACTCGGAAAGAACACATTTGCATTTTGCAACATTTAATATAATATATATATATATATATTATTTCTTATTTGACAGAATAATTGTGAATGGAAAATTGAAAATAAAATGTATACGAATAAATTGTTATAATAAAATTGTTTCGTCCTCTTAAGAAAATCGATGTTGAAGGAATTGAAAATTAACATCTTCTCTTCTCAATTCTAGAATTAGTTAGTGTACGTGACACCATATGTATGATTCGAAAATGAACTTGAAGAAAAATCACCATTTATTTTGTTTCTTTTTTCTTACAATGTAATATCTATGCTTTTAGCCAATTGCAACGGGGGAAAAAGGAAGAAAGGCCATCCATAGGAAACGATTCTTAAAGTCCAAGCATCGTTTACTTGTTCCTGTACGCGTTTACGTATTATTCGTACGTGTTGCCACCCCTACTTGACTATCAGCTTGATAAATATGGGCGGCTGTTGAATAATACAACACGGCAGCTCCGGCAGTAAACAAGTAACGTAACACCACAGGGTAACCGATTCGCCTGAACCACTCTGACTGACCTCGCTTATGCGATTCGCCACATTTTCCGCAAGCCATCGGTGACGTATTTTGTAGACAACGTTTCTAAATATACGTTTTTCGCGAAACGTTATAGTGTACAGTAGGAAAATTCATGTTTTTTGTTAAAAACGGTCCCCGTTAAAATTTTGGTGTTCAATATTTAACACATTCTTGTGTTAATTTAACATATTGCTGTTGTGTCAATTGAACTTAAATGTTAAATTATTAAAACAACTAAAAAAGATGTAAAAATAACACAATGTGTATCTATTTTTAATTTTACACAATAAATATGTTCTGCTTTATTAGTGACAAGATTTATCTATTAAAATTTACAGAAAAAATGTTGATTTTCTATTTTACAATATAAGTGGGGATGATAAAATCTAAAATTAACATATTTTTTGTTAATTTTTACATTAAAAGTATATTAATTTTACACAAAATTTATTTTAAATTATTTAAAGTTTTGTTTTTATTTTGTTAAAATATTAACACAATATTTGTGTCTCCATTTGACATATCCATATTATGTTGAATTAACACACAAATTTTTGTGGATTGTTTGGGAGATATGATATCTGTTAAAAATAGAAATTTTTTAATTGTGTAGTTTACAGCCAAAAATTATTTTAAATCAGACAAAGTGTTTTTTATAGTTCATTAAATTTTTCGCTGAAAACGATGCCGCAAACTTTTAGCTAAATTTCTGACACGTCAGATTTTCAAAATAATTTTGAAGCTCAATATGTAAAACAATGGCTCATTTGCGATATTTGAGATATTTTTGTAAAAAAGATTAACATTATTTCTTATACATAAATTTTTGGATGCTGGAAATGATGTCGCAAGCAAATTTTTACCAGCACATCAGATTTCTGATATAATTGAGGTTTAATATGAAAAAATTCTTCTTTGTGATATTTAAATTTTTCTTGTAAAAAAGGTCAGCGTTATTTTGAAATTCTGATCAAAAGTCATGAATATATTGTTCATCTCTTGTAAAATGCATTTTTTTATTTCAATATTTTACTTTTTAGCCATGTTAGGAAGGATTTCCAGAAATCCAGAGTTTTGCTGAGATAGCAAATATTTCGCCTATGATGATGAAGTCATGTAATTATACCTACTCATTATTTGTAACTGTTTATAATTGTTTAGAGATATCGATACACATACACAGTGTAACTTATAGGATGTCTCATTTTCATCGCCCATTTTATAATTTTTTAAACAATGCGTTTTCGAGAAAATGTTCCAAACAAAAGTTGTATGATTTAAAAGAGGACAAATAATGATAAAATAAATTTTGGAAAAAATAATTTTTTTCAAAAAAAACCTTTTATCCTCAGGAACATCTCCATATGAAAAATAGTTCCCAGTTTTAATCTGAGATGAACAATTCATCACATACATATGATCAGAATTTCCAGAAAATATTAACTTTTTTCACACAAAAAAATCTCA